GAAAAGTAGAAAGAATAAAAGATTTGTAATGAAATATTGGTTTCTTGGTCAACTGGTATCTTGATTATTATGTATATTATCTAGTATCCATCTTGTCTCCCATTACTTTTTTTAGTCCAAAGTCTTCTCCCATTACTTTTTTTAGTCCAAAGTCTATCATATTGGATATAAGAATAGTAGTTCCCAATTTACTGAGTTGTTATCTTGTATGACTTCATTTAAGCATATTGTTTTTATCTTTTGGTTTCAAATGGGCCATTTTGAAGCAGAATACTAAGATGGTAATTTTCTAACCCAAATTGTTACCCTATGTCTTTTTACTAGTGAACTTTTTTTTTCCGTTATTTTGTTTCTATTTTTGATTAAAGATTTATTTAAGCATACAGAACTGGGTTCAGGTTAGCGGTGCAGAAGGAGGGGTGAAAGGATTCGCCAGAGACAGAGTGGGGAACAAAACCGGCAGACCGATGATGTACACTGCTGAGGGGAGCCAGCGGCTAAGACAGGATAGGTCTGCAATGCCACATGGGTCACCTCCGTTGCCAGAGATCGAACTCATGCTGCAGTGGCTGCAGAGAGCTTCATAGCACATTGCACTTTAACTCACCACGCCAAGAAGGAAGGCCCAAGATTGTATTATTTTTCTGTTGCTACTTTTCTCCCTTTGTTTCTACGTCTGGATGGCTTTCCTTAGGATTTGTATAAAATTGTTTGCTTCTCTATCTTTGGGTGTCTACTGTCAATTTTTCATTAAAGATTTACCAAGGGGGCTTTATTTGAGTTATGTGTAAGGTCCTTCATAAGCTACTGTTGCTCTAATATCCATCTATATCAGTTCTACCCATTTTCTCTTCCTGTTCTATTTTTGGTATTAACTCATACTACTCTTACTCTTGATATTGCTGTCATATTACTCCTGTCATCTTATATTCTTGCTCGAAATATAGGAACACCAAGTTATATAAATCTGCATTTAAGAGTGATAAAACAGTATATAAATAATACAACTGTTTCAAACACCTTACTGGGCACTTTACTATACCACTGTACATCAACCTGACTGAACATTACCAAATGAAAAATGTCTAAGTATTAGATTAAATGGATTTACTGGACATTTGCACTTTTTTATCCTAAAAGCAATGAGTAAACTTTCTCTTATGCACATGGAATATTATCAAGAACAGATCACACTAATACATATAAGTCTCAAAGAATAAAACTTGTTTCAAGGATTTTCATAGATTACAATGCATAAAGAAATTAATCATAAGAATCTTAGAATAAGCCAAAATCCATGGAGATTAAAAATGCTTTGAACAACTCATAGGTCAATAAAGAAATCAAAGAAGAGATTTAAAATAGTACATAGAGACTAATGAAAATGTACAGACAAACTACCATAGCTTATGGGATCTTTAATAGCAGTATTACACATGAAGTTCATAGCTATACAGGCACACATAAAAATGAACTAACTCTGCAGTTGATGAAATCAGAAGGAACTACAAAAGCACCCCCAAACCAGTTCAAAGCAAGAATAAAAATTAGAGCAGAAATATAAAATAAAAAGCCATTCCAAAAATTTGAAGTCAACAAAAGGAAGATAATGGTTACTAGAAGGTAGAAGAGTTTGGGGGTGGGATGCAGTTGGTGACTAGGCGTGGGTGGTTTGGTGGAGAGAAAGAAAAAAGAAATTTAACAATGAAATCATTTTCTTGACCCCGTCTAATCCTACTATCATGGAAACCACATTTCTGGCACTTATGGTAATTGGAATCATTCTCTTTTTTGCATACTTTATCCACCTTTCACATTACCAACATAGAAATCAAACCAGAACTAAAATGATAACAAGGTGCAGCTTGTGTACTTCCTACTAAAACATATGAAAAACAAATCCTTGAGTAGAATCCTCAGATCGTAATGCACTGAGAATCTTGAGTGTGTCCATGAACACATTTACCTATTATTTTATCTATTTCTTGATTCTTCAGATTTCTAATTTGTACATCAATTTTACCCCTCTGTAGTGAAAAATGGGTTTAGTAATTTACTTTAAATGAAATCACAACTGAATAGAGTGGGTGCTATACTTTATGAATATAACATCACATTTACTTGAATCATGTTGTAGTACATCTTGGCTTCTTTATTTTTTTTTATTATAATGTTTTACACCATTGTTTGTCATTTGGGATTATAATGCCACCTATACTACCATGAAGTCTTTATGATAGGATGTTTCTCTAAGAGAAAAGTGAATGTATTTTTATAGCTATTAATAGTATACTTACAATTCTGCTGACTAAAGTAGACTTGAAGTAGGGTCCATAGTTAACTTCTCAATCAATGCTATGAAGCAGTGCTATTATACCCAAATAACAGATGGAAGCTGATACTTGAAGTAGCCACATGGATTTTCAAAAATAATTTAACCGGTCAGTAAAAGAACAGAAAGCAAATGTTGTACTCTGACCAATACCTGTGATTTTAATTACACTAGACAACATCTAGGATTTTATTAAGGTACTTGTTTTTAATTTTTATTTATTAAAATTTTTAGTACTTTTATATATGCTACCTGTTATTGAGAGAAATGACACATTGCATGACGTGTGTGAAATATCATGCCACTCTCAATCTCATATAATTACATACGATTATGTAACTGAGAATCATACCTCCTTGTGTTCTGCTTATGAAGAACTTGCAATGCTAGATTACATAGCAAGTAGAAGAAGTTGTACTAGGATGTATTAAAAATATGAGAATGTTTAATTATTAATACCAACATCTTTGTTTTGACATATTATGCATCAACAATCGATGCATAATAGGATATCAGACATGACACAGGATGACAAGAACTTTGGAACTGAAAATGGTTTGCATTATTCTGTCTGTTACATAGTAGATGTTATCCTGTATTATGTTTAACATCCTGGTATGCATTGATTGACAGTGCAGTGGTCTATGCCTTAGTTTGTAAGAATTTAGTATTATTCCTTATGCTTACCTATTTTTTTTTGACAAAAATTCTTGATGTAAGGTGGGGACACAGAGACAATAAACTGACATATACCATGTTCCTGGATGTAACATATCATTAAGATGGCAATTATTCTTCCACCACAATCAAAATAGAACTTTTAGTAGAAATTGACATTTTGATTCTAAATTTTTACAGAAGACTCAAATTTCAAAATCAGTGAGAATGGAGAATAAAGCCAGTGTGTACTGGCATCAAGAGAGAATGAAATACAAAACATCCAAAATTAAACTCTGCATTTGTGGCTCATAAATCAGTCAACTATGGTTCTTCAAACAAAAGCTAGGAAAAGTACAGAAATCCTTCAGGAACATATATTAAAGTGCTAGAGACTGAATTAGGATGAGTTCTTTATGATGGCAAAAGCAAGATTTCTTAAAAAAACAACTGACAATAGTACTTCATCCACATGATATCTCTTTGAAAGACATTAAAGAAATTAGAACAATACCAGACTGGGAAAGCACTTAATCTGATCAAGCACTTACATCCACACGATATAAAAAACTTTTAACAAAGAAACAGGTGTGATACTGGAGTACATATTTATCCAAATATGCTAATCACAAACACACACAAGAAATAATGTTCATCATCATCAGTCATGAAATACAAGTTAAAACACAATCTTACCACTATAATGTGTACAATTAAGACAGCATATGTGAGTAGGCACAGCAAGTTATTAAATACTGCATTCTACTTAAATGTAAATGGGGAAAAAAACTTTTGGTAGATTTTTTGTTTGTTTTAAAGTTAACATTCCATTCCTAGTTCTATGTCTGAAAATAAACGAAGGTATAAGATCCTACAATATTGAAAGTAAATCAGAGAAATTATAACTTATGCACTGAGAGACTATCCCATAGTGATGAAGAGAAGAAATTAATGATACATGTAGTGTACATGATGGGGTACCATTTATATACATTTATGGAAAAATTAGCTGGTCAGAGATTATTTTGGGTCAATTTCATGAACTATAGAGAGAGGTACAAAGAAGCAGAAGGAAATTTTGTAGCAACATATGTACATTATCTTGATCATTCTTAATTACTGATAACTTTTAAGTTACAATTCAGTACATTACTTTAAATATATCAGTTTATTTTATATGTGAACTAAATCTCAAAACCATTAAAAATCATCATGCAAATTGCTATATTTTTTTCCACTCACCTGACTTCTCCCTCAACTAAGTAACAATTATCACTACTTATACTTTTCGGTATCTGTTATTCACTTGATATCACAACTCATGTGAAAAGAGAAAAGGTAAACTCCACATTATAAAATATACTAAATTCCACTTTAAAAGTCTTCCAGTTATATTAGAATGACAAAACATTGCCTGTAGTAATCATAATGACCTCAATATTAAGCTCCAGTTTGTTCTCAGTTTCCTTCCCTCACCCTTAGATAAAATGATGCAAGAACTTTACAAACAAACAAACAAACAAAAACTCTCATATCTAGGACATTAAAATACTAATCCAAAAGAAAAAAATCACTTTAAATACTTCAAAGCACATTTATAAACAGAGCACACAGAAATTGTCAAGCATGGTATGTTAACTAATTCCACAGCCCTCAAATTTGTAAAATGTACATGGGCTAAATAATAAAATCCTTTCATTTTTAAGTATTAAGCTCTACAAATCACAGTCCATGATTAAAGTTCTAAAGAGAAATTTGGACACTATAGAGATTAACTGTAGAGAATCATAATCATAAACCTTAGGTAGCTGCATATCTCTTATAAATTCCCTCAAGATTTTAAAAGATTCACTTTTTTAAACAAGTATGCACATTATTGATTTATACTGTAAATATTTTAACTCCACAACTATAGATATGCAGTCTTCAAGACACACAGGTAGAATTTTCATTTTAACCAGAAAAATCTCCCTGAAGGCAATATAGTAAGAAATAAAGGCACTTACGTAAAGTTCATTCTTCTCTTTCCACTGGCTAAATTCCTTTCCTAAGTAAGTCAGCCATCCCTTGAAGTAAGAAAAACAAGACAAATTTATAAACTGAGCACGTTATTAGAGAAAACAAAGTAGGAAAATATAACCTTGGTGAAGTAGCATTTCCACTTCCTGCACATATAGAAAAAATAGCCACCTGCAGGCACAATGTGCTCAGTTGAGGCTGATTATGTCTACAAGTTCTATCAGTTTCAGTCTGCTCAGGCCCTACCAAACTCTGTCAAGAGCAACCAGATTCTGAACTGCAGACATAACCATCGTTCAGTGTGGACATCCACAAAGTGCTGACACTGGGAAGCACTGTGATAAAGGATATTTGCATTAAATATCACTGGTATTAGAAATGCTGAATTTTGCATAACCTGCATTTTAGGTTTTCCCAACATACACGATGCACTTTCTTCCAACAGATTTCTTATTTGTGAAGAGTTATGTTCCTAGAAAGGGACAGTGTCAGAATGTATTTTCTCTATTACACATATTTTAACATAGATGTTATTGTTTTGTAACTAAGGTCAAGATCCCTAATAACTGACATAATTATTAGAGCAACCATTTATGTAGTTTATATAAAAGACCCAAGATTACCATTTATCTTTTGTTAAAGTGGTTTTAAGTCAACTTCAGACAGCACATAAGTACCATCAAAGTGTCATATTTGTGTGTCTCTACTACTAACAAAGATTTATCAGTTGAGCTACATGACAATACTGAGACCAAAGAAAAGGCCAATGAAAGAAAATAATCCCCTTTATCTTGGGGACTATATTCCTGGAAACAAAGAGGAAAACCCATTATAGTAAATTCTCATTTAATTTTTTCATTCAGTATCAGCTGAGATTGTGTTTGTACTCTTCAATGTTATAATTGAACGACATTGAACTAAAAGGCAGTTATTAGAGAACATGTGTGGATTCCCACGAGCTGGCCACTCATGGACAACTGTGACCTATTTGTGATCTACAAGTCGGAGCAGGGCAGTCTTTGACTACCTAGGGACAATAGCACCGAGGGACAGTATCTTGTACTACGACACAAGCCCAGAATCACCTAGGCTACAATGCCCTATGATAACATCAGCTCATATACTTTGCTGATGCAACTGTCTCTTGATATATGGCCATGATGTTCCCTTTCTGTTTCTCATACACCTTAGTTCCCCCAGTCCCACCCTCCGAACCTTATTCCTCATACAATGTCAAACGATCGGCTATTAGTAGCCTTTATGCATTCATTAGATGGCACAAGAACTTCTGTTTTTGCAGCAGAACCTGCTCCATGACTGTCGTGTCCTCATGGTGTTTCCCTCCACCACACAGCAACAAAGTTCCTGTCACAACAAACATGTTGTGTGGAGACAAGGCAGGACCTTGTCTGATTCAGCTGAACAGAGAGATTTGAAGCCTGGCAAGTACCAGACAGCTAGAATTCACTGGGTAGAGTTGCAAAAAAATGGAAGAGCTGCAAATAGAATAGAAATCTACAGATGATCAGCACAAAGGAAAATCCCCATGTGAATGCAAAAAAAAAAAAAAAACCTTCAATTTCAGGAATTAAAGAATTCAGGAGTTTTGATCTTCCAAATGGAATGAAATTAGCTCTTAATAAACCACTGCCCTAGCCCCTACCTAACCAAACTTAAAAGCAAAACGCATAAGGATCAAAATGCTTTCAGCAGTTTAATGATACCCTGTAACAGATTAAAAAATACTTATTAAAAATACAAAAATAACCAGCAATCAAGAAGGTAAAATCCTGAGTTGGCCAAAAATAAATAATCCCCCAAAATGCAAAGCAGAAAACTGACTGATGACAAAATCAAAAAGGTGAAATGAGCCAAATGTATGGAACTTCATAAAATTAAGAAGTGCACTTTGACATAATGCTATAAGAATGAAGAGCAAGATAGACTGTAAAGAACATTTGGAAGTTCTCTCACATACACACACACACACAAACCAAAAAAAAAAAAAAAACTTCTTTCTAAAAGATATTAAAATGCCCCTAAATAGAATAGCAGCAGAGTAAAAATAGTCAAAATATTTAAACACAAAATTCATTACTTAGCCGAAGAATCACAAACATCGACATCAAAAACTGCTGGCCATCGGGCCCTCCCTGGTGGCGCAGCAGGTTAAAGCACAGCACTGAGAATCTAAAGCCACTTCCGCATGAGTTTAATTCCCGCCTGCCCCGGAGGTGACCACATGGCGTGGCAGACCTCTCCTGACCCGCCCGCTACTCCCCTCAGCAGTGTACTTAGTCGATCTGCCTGTTCTGTTGCCCGCTCTGTCACTGGTGAAGCCTCTCACCACCCCTGAGCCTCTGGCCTGTACCCCAGTCTGTATGCACAAATAAATAAATCTTAAAAAAATAAATGCTGGCCATCAATAATTAAAGAAAACTAAAATACCAGGAGCTAATAGTACACACCTGTTTGAATGTTATTTTTTAAAAGACTGTTCATGCAAAGTGTTAGTGAGAATTTGGGAAAACTGGTACAAAGTGTTAGTGAGAATTTGGGAAAACTGGTACTCTCAAACATTATAGAATGAAAATTGGAAAGTACTTTTGCAGCTCCTTAAAAAGCAATACATACAACTTTCAACCCAGCAATTCCACATCAAGGGAAGTGAAAGCATCTGCTCTGTAAGACTGTTTTTTAATGTTTACATTATCCCTTCTTAAAACAGAAACAGCCAACTAGAAATAACCCAAATGCTAATTAAAGATAAATATATGATCAAAATCTGACACACACAGTGAAATACTACTTCCCCACAAAAAAAAAGTATGAATTGTCTACAATGTAAATTTCAAAATGCTGAGTAAAACTATCAAAAATATTTTTTAGAAATGAAATCTTTTAACCATTCTGTACTGTTTTGTTTCACAATATTGAACCACCATCCTAAGCCCTGTTAAGTTACTGGAGTCAATGCTCCACCATGTGAAACTATTAAACTTAAAAACCTTGTCTTTCTACCTTTGTAAATTCTTTTACAAGAGTGAAGTGATATTTTAGGCTGATGAAGTGGGAAGAGTGGAACATGCATGAGTTAGTTCCTTCCTAGTTCCCTCCTTCCAGATGTGTTTATCTCAGCAAGTATTCACTTTCTTCCTCTGCGCTACAGCAGAGAGACCCGAGCTAACAGGGGGCCTGGGAGGAACTCATAGTTAATACACAAATAACCCATACTACTGGCAATAAAATTTGTCTTCACTTATTTGCTAAACACTCTAAGAGCTTCTTATATGCTAGATATTGTTCCAAGCTCCATAAATAAGAGTCTTGGTTTTTACTACCTCATGAATCTGACATCCTAACGCAATTGTGCTTGACTGAACCACTGAATCTAGTAGTTTACTCCTTATTTTCACTGGCTTTCCCTTCCCCTCACGTATAAAAGCCATAAAAAGAGTAATCCCACTTGCATTGGCTTACTTCCTCACACTGGCGTCCTCCATCTGCACTCTTGCTGTGGCGTCTGAACGGCGTCTATCCGCACCAGGGCGGTGTTTTTAAACTTAAATGTGAAATAATTTCACCTGGAAGGGCTGTTAAGCACCGTTAATGAGACCCATGTGGTGAGTTCTGGATTCATTTGCCCAGAGGAGGAGGGTAAGAATTTGAACTAAGTGTGAACTGGGCCTAGGAGAGCGGGAGGAGCTTGGGGGTTGAACAGGAGGAAAGGAAGCACAGTGGACTATAGCGGGGTGTCTGGGGTGTCTGGGTGGGGAGGGGGAAGTTGCGGCAAGACTATCTGAAGAGAGGGGTCCACTACCTCTACAACATATACAACATTGCAGACCGACCTCAATTACAAATAAACAACATTCAGTCTGACTTTACGTATATTTTTAGAGCGCTCATAAACCGCTTTTCCAGGCTTCTAAAGTGATTCCTAACATCTTCCTTTACCCTCCCTGACCCACACTTTTAACTCTTTCAACCCTGCCATGAAGGAAAACAACAGAAAATCTGCAGTCTAACAACTTCGCGGGTGAAGTTAACTCCTACCACCCTATGAACACCACTGAGCTCTAGGTAGTCTGTGGGTGTGGTGGGAATTCAAAAAACTGAGGTTCTGAAAAAAAAATATGTAAACTATTAGAACCGATCCTGTTCATTGGAACTGGCAAGAGTGGTGTCCTTGCCTTGATGAGCTTAGGATTTCCTGTTTCTCACCACCGGGTTGTTTTTCCTAATGATAAGGACATTTAACATTTACTCTTAGCAACTTTCAAAATTATACCATAACTATCGTCCATCCCCCACGACTTACTTCTTTTATAATTGGAATTTTTTTTTCCCTCTTGGCTCTCCTACACCCCAATCCTGCCTCTGACAACCAACAATCTGTTCTCTGTGTCTCTGAGTTTTTGTTTTTTTGTTTGTCTGTTTTGGGAGGGGGGGTTGTTTTTAAAGATTCTTTATGTAAGTGATATGATATGGTATTATAATAATTATAATATTTGTCCTTAACTTTCATTTAGTAAAATGTTCTCAGGGTTAATTCATATTGTTACAAATTACAAAATTCCCCTTCTTTTTATTTCTGAATAATACTCCTTAAAGAAAAAGCTTGCAGCTTTTTATCATTGAGTATGTCATAAATGGTGGTTTTTTTTTTTTTTATCTTAATACATATTCAATGTAGTGGGGCAGCCACGCCCTGAGTGAGCAGGGGGGCCATGAGACACAGAGCTTGGCGGGCCCGGGCCTTCCAGCCCCAGGCCAATCTGTATGCTTTCCTCCTTGGTCTCTCTGTGTCTTCTTCTCATGGTCCTGCCCCTCTGTGGTCACCCGTCCCCTCGGTAGCCATTTGCAGCACGGTCTTCTGTGGGACACCACCCTGATAGCCTCCAGGCTCAGGCGTGCTCACTTACGCATGCCCACACCATACTCCAGGTGTCCACAATCAAATATGCTTACCTTGGGCCCATGCTCCCAGGCACCCCTTGCACTCAATGCTGCAGGTAATGAGGTTAAAATCACCAAAGCCTAATTC